AAAGATGGGGGATGGATGATGGCTGACAGGCAGTGGAATAGCAGCAGTATTGGTAGTGAAGATCGGAAGTTACCCCGCAGCCCCCAAAAAGACTTCACAGATGGCAGACCTGGGTTGGTTTATTCCTTGAAGCACCCCAGCCCCACTGTAGTGTTGGGTACACAGAGGGTACTCAGTAAATGCCTATTATTGCAGTATCACCGCTCTGCACACCTCCAACAAAATGACTGCTCTTGGATACACACTGCCCTTCTACACCGGCCCCAAGCCAACCTTTCCGATGGACACAGCTTTGGCTGTTATAATCACCATCTTTCTGACTGCTCTGGCCACCTTTATCATCATCCTGCCTGGCATCCGTGGGAAGACGGTAAGAAACAAAGCCAGCCCGGTAGACCCCAGTCCCAGGGAGGACCTCAGCTTCAAGAGTGAGGAGTCCAGACTCTGTCTAGAGAGAGACTCGGGGAAGGAACTCCAGTGCTGAGAAAGTTCCATTACCATCCCGAGTGGAGAATTTCCCACTCACGGAGCCAATAGCTTGAGCATGGCTTTGTGCCGAACACTCTGATCTTAATTGACCAAATAGGTTCAGGTGTAGATGCCCCCCCCCATCTTAGGAAGGGTGAACACGGATGGAGGACTATGTTTACTAAACCCACCCCTCTGACTCAGAGGCTGTTCTGGATGCTACGGGTTGTGACCAGCTTATTCATCGGGGCTGTGATCCTGGGTGAGTGCCAGATGCCACAGACTTGGGTAGCTGCCCCTGCCTGTGAAGTTTCCTTTGTGGCCCGGTGGGGCGGTGTCTCTTCTTTCTGTTTCTCCATAGTGGTCACTGATTCAGGGTGCCTTCCAGATCCAGCTCATACACCATGGTTTTAGCCCCTTACTCTTCCCCTTGCCCTAAAGGTATAGGCCAGGGAAGTCCTGGAGGATCCATCTTTTCAGTTTTGCTACTTTTTTATTTGGCTCATAATGAATGTAGGCAGGAGGACTCAGGGGGAGGGCTGTTTGTTTGGCTTCAGTGATTAGGGGAATGGAAAAAACAGATCTTTTTTTTAATTGAAGTTGTCTGTGTTTGCCCACCATGGTCTATGTTAATGCTTCCTTACCAGTTGCGTGAGTGGCTGTCCATAAATGGGACTGGGAGGGGCAAGCAGGGTGAGAGCATGGAAAATTTTAGATTCTGACCCTTTTCTTCATCCCACAATAGTGGTTGGCAGACTTAGTATGAGCCAGGCCTGGGATAGTGAATGGGTATACAATTATGACAAGTTCAGGCATGGAGTCCTCATAGCTTTCCTTCTGACTAACCCAGTAATACTCAGACCTTCCTGAGTTGCTACTCCCCAATCCCAGCTGTGAATTTCAGTTCTGAGTGGTCTGTGGGCCAAGTCAACACCAACACGACGTACAAAGCCTTCAGTCCCAAGTGGGTCAGCGTGGACGTGGGACTGCAGATTGGGCTCGGAGGAGTCAACATCACACTCACAGGTGAGGGCTCTAACTCGTGAAGGAGGGAAGGCTCTGCTTGGTGTCTTTGAGATATATTTTGTGTGTTGTTTAGAACTACTTCGTGCCTAGCACCAAAGCTTGGAAGTGTAAGAGTTGAGGGGGAAGGGAAATTCAGAGCTGTCTCCTCTGTCAGCTGTCAGCTCTTGGCCTTCAGACCAGTGTGAATGAACCCTACCCAGGTGAATAGTGCAGTCCAGTTCTCGGGCTCCTGCTAAGCGCAGCTACCCTGTTCCTCAGGGACCCCAGTGCAGCAGCTGAATGAAACCATCAACTACAATGAGGAGTTCAGATGGTGCCTGGGCGAGAGCTATGCAGAGGAGTATACAAAGGCGCTGGAGAAGGGACTTCCAGACCCGGTGCTCTACCTGGCTGAGAAGTTCACCCCTCGAAGCCCATGTGGCCTGTACAACCAGTACCGCCTGGCAGGCCATTATGCTTCAGCCATGCTGTGGTGAGCACGGACATGGGGTGTGATGGCCCCTACTGACCTAAACTCGGGCACAGATTCTCTAGCATCTCGTTTCCACTCAAGGGGGTACCCTGACTGGGAGAAGCTGGTATCAGTAACCTTAGTTCTTGGTTGGGAAGCCCACAGGAAAGAATGCCCCTTCACATATTTGGGACAGCCTCCGTCTGGGCCGTCCCATCCTCTCCAGCAGGTAGAGGTGCCTGGGCCAGTCCTCACTGCATCTTGGCTCTCCAGGGTGGCATTCCTCTGCTGGCTGCTGGCCAATGTGATGCTGTCTATGCCGGTGCTGATTTATGGTGGCCACATGCTGCTGGCTACTGGCCTCTTCCAGCTGTTGGCACTTCTCTTCTTCTCCATGGCCACATCGCCCATATCACCCTGTCCCCTGCGCTTGGGCACTGCCGCGCTGGACACTCACCTTGGGCCTGCTTTCTGGATCACGTCGGCCACAGGTGAGACCCTTCCCTGAAGGTAAGGGCTCAGGATGGAGGTGAGGGACCGTCATGTTGGTAGGGTGGAGGGTGTGCTTCTAGAGGTCAAGATGTCTGTGCCTTTTTTTAGAACCCCATCCTTTCTGACTTCTTTATCTTCTGGCTTCCTCTCTCCAATGCCATTTCCTCTCCTCATCCAGGGTCACTTCTATGTATGTCACATCCATACCCCCTAACTCTCTTTACTCGAGCCCTTCAAATCTTTTAGTTGTATGTCTCCTCCTGCATCCCCTAACCACAAATCTCATCTTTTCCTAGATTCCTTGCATGTCCCCAACTCACACTACTCCAAATGTCCTAAATCAATCTGTCTTACAGTTTCATTCTCCTACTGTGTTCTGTCTGCTCACCCATGCCGGGGTCTAGCCTGTATCAGTCCTACACTGCAGGGGCCATCTTTTCTGGGCTGATGTCTTTGGGGCTGTGTTCAGAACCAGCCGAACAGCCCCAGGTCTGACCCTGAGTGGAGGAGTGTGGATCAGGGAAGTCCTAGCTACTCAACATTAAGGAGGAGACAGAGACATTGTATCATTTCAGGAGGACTCTCAGTCAATACTGGAGACCATGGCTTATTCAAGCATCCTCTTAAATAGCTTTCCAAAAGCAGGGGTACTGGGAGACGACATCTATTATCATGTATATAGGGCTGACTAGGAAACACTTCCTTTAACCCTAGAGATGGTCCTAGAATGCATGTACACAAGCCCTCAGACTTTCTGTAATGGCACGTCTCACCAGACTTCAGACACATCCCACTAGTCCCCAGGCACATCCCATTAATCCTCATGATGGGTTTGGGGCCTAGGTCTATTGTTACACAAACTAGAAACCATTCTCCACTGTGGCCAAGCCATTCGGAGGTAACCAGCTGACATCTAAAAGACAATAGGAGATTGGAGCTCCTGGAGTTGAGCTGAGGCCTATATCTGACATATCATATTCAGACCCCGACACATCCATGTTATCTTCATGTCTCCTTCTTTTGTCCCTATCTGTCCCTATTTTCAGTCTGTCTTCTCTCTCTGCCTCAGTCTGGAGTATGAAAATTCAGGACAACAGACCCATACCAGCAATATAGACCCTAGGACATTCAGTTAGCTCTTTGAAGTCCAGTTACCATGAGGCAGGCCCCACACCTCCCTTACAGAGTTCTTCTGGTGTTCTTAGAAGATGCTCTTGGGAGGACCTACTAGAACACATGTCACCCTCATCCTCAGGACTGCTGTGTATTCTGCTTGGCCTAGTCATGGCAGTGGCCCACAAGATGCAACCTCACAGACTAAAGGCTTTCTTCAACCAGAGTGCAGAGGACTCAGTGCTGGAGTGGGGTTCTGAGGAAGGGGGGCTCCTGAGCCCCCGTTACAGGTCCATGGCTGAGAGTCCCGAGACCCAGGACATTCCCATGTCAGAGGCTTCCTCTGAGATGTGTTTTAAGGAAGAGCACATCAAAGAGTCTGACTGCGCCCTGTAACACTGATGGCACCGGAGTTTCCAGACTGGCTCCAGACCTCACTGGAGCCTCTATAAAAGCACCAGAGCGCCCCAGGAGGTGGGTTTGGTGATATTGGGTGCCCAACTCCATTTAAAAAAATAGCAGAAGTTCCAAGGTTCTGAAGAGATGTCAGCTATGTCCAATAAACTCTGCTGCTAAGGCAAGACCACAGGGATGGTTCGTATTCTGCACACTTCTTGGACACTTTGCTTCTTCAAGGTCAACCCCCGCTCAACAAATATTTTGGGCATCAAGTGGTCTCTCAGCACCCATCACTTGGTTTCTTTTGGGGGGCCTGGGCCCCTCCCTTTTCTGTTGTTTTCACAGCTTTTGTGACTTCTGGGTCTGCACTGAAAGGAGATCTTGTTCCACTTCCAACACTAGCCAGTTGTTTGCCACATTCTCGATGAGCTTCAGTTCCCAAATACGCTGTGTAAGATTATAGGGCTTGGGAAGAATGCATGCTTACACACATACATATTGTGTTTGAGTGTTTTGCCTGCATGTGTGTCTGTGCACCATTTGCATGCAGTGCCTGAAGAGGCCACGGGAGGGCGGTGCAGAGATTCCCCTGGAACTGGAGTTACAGGCAGCTGGTATTTGCCATGTGGGCATTAGTACTCTAACACCAATACCCTCTACCATGAACCATCTCTCCAGACACCCAGGATTTATATTTTTGTGCCTTGTTTTTTTTTTCTCTTTTAGCCCTCAGGCAAATGCACAAAGGGGGTGGGAAGAATTTGTGAATCAACACCCAAATGCTAAACTTTCCCAGAACATCCAGCTTGACTAGTAGAGATTTGGGCAGTGTGACCACCCCATGGGGCAGCTCACGAAGATGGATGCAGGTGCCTGTCAGTTCCTCTCGGGCCTCACTAGAGGGCGCGTGTCTCCCCAAGCCCTTCTGTGTTTCTCTGGTTTCTTGGCACCCGAATGTACAATACTAAATTATCACTAGCCTGGCGAAGCCTCTCAAGGTTGAGTGGTTCCAAGGGCAAAGAGAGATCAAGGAAATGGACGAGCAGGGGAATTTTGAAAAACAAACAAACAAGCAAACATTTATTTACAGCTCTTCGAAGAAATTCATTTCCTAGCGCAAAGGGCACACCTGGGGCGCCCCCTGGTCCTCCTGCGTGGGCAGTGCTCTTGGGGCGCGCCCTTAACATTGTCCAGGTTTGCGGGATCCCAAGGGGGTAGGAATCCGGAGTAAGTTCTCTTCACAGGACAGTGGTAATACTTAAGTCTGGGGTCGCGAACTGCTTGCGTTGCAGGTTATCAAAGATGAGAGGCGAGCTCCCTTTGGCCTGACTGCTTTGATCCAGAAAGGCTCGAAGAGCGCTGGGCCTAGTGTAGTGCAGAATCACCACCGCCGCTCCGAGGAGGAGGCTCAGGATGCCTGCACCGGAAGGCAGAAAGACAGAGAGTCAGGGGTGCAGGCGCTCCTCGCCGTCATCTGAATCCCATCCCTGGAAATTCCTTACACAAACACCCCCAGAGAGAACGCCTATGTGTATTACACGATGCAGGAGTTCTCATACTAACTGGGGCAAGATACTGAACCTTGCGAACTAGTTCTACTCAATCGTAAAACGAGAGTAACAATGCCTGCCACACCTTCTTGCCTGCTATCGAGAGGGAGAAGGTAAATAATAACTCGCACTATAAGCTGGATAGCGCACATCCTTTACACATCCCGGTCACCGCCAGGTGAGCATCCCTTGGTACTCACCGGTGGCCAGCGTGACCCAAAAAGAGGCGCCATAGTGAGGCGTGAGGGTGGCGGAGCCCAGGCGGAAGGGGCAGAGTGGCACGCTGGAGACCGAGGCGAAGGCGAAGACGGCGAAGAGCGTGAAGGCGCTGGTGGTGAGCAGAGCCAGGCCTCCGTAGAGCAGGGCGGGCATGGAGAGCAGCGCGTTGGCGATGATCCAGAAGCAGAACGCCACCCTGTGAGGGACCGAGGCAGTGCGCCGTGAGCGGGGTTCCCTGGCCAGACCTGCAGGCGGCGCAGGGGAGTCGGGGAGAGCCGGCTCCTGCGCGCCCGCGCTGGCTCGGATGCCCACGGTTTTTCGCAGATCGTCAGACAATCCTGCCCACGAGGCTGCGGTTCCAACCCGCAGCTCCCGAGGCCCAGCTCTCGGGGTTACGAGCACCCTGCCCCATCCCCACCACACGCTCACCACAGCGTTGCTGCAGCGTAGTGTCCGGCCAGGTGATACTGGTGGTACAGCCCACAAGGGCTGCTGGGTGTGAACTTCTCGGCCAAGTATAGCACTGGGTCCGGCAATCCCTTCTCCAGGGCATCGACGTACTCCTTGGTGTAGTCTTCGTCCAGACGCCACGTGAAACGCTCGTTGTAGTTAATGGTCTCGTTCAGCTGCTGCACTGGTGTTCCTGCGGGTAGACGCGGGGTCAAGGCCAGGGACCCGGAAACTGAACACATTCAGACAGGGAACTAAAGGTGGGGCTACTGTCGGGAAAGAGTAAGGTTACGTGGTAACTGGGGGAAAACCCCCATGTCAGTCGAAGTCTTCCTGAGCCGGAGGGATGCTAAAGATCCTCTAACATCCATGGCACTCGGCTCTGAACCATGGGATCTCCCAGCCTCCTCCTCACCTTTGAGTGTAATATTGACTCCCACCAGTCCCACATGCAGACCGACATGGACTTGAACACGCGCTGTACTGAAGGCTTTGTAGGATGTATTGGTCCACACTGCGCCCACGAACCAGTCTCCACTGAAGTGCACAGCTAGGGGGAGACGCACACAGTGACTTGTGGGTGAGGATGAGAGTGGGGAGAGGTGATGGGAGGCAGAAGGATGAAGGCGCAGGTCCGGGGACCTGGTGTAATAACAACGTAAGAGCCGAAAAGTGGGCATTAGTGGAGGCACGCGGGGGCGCGGGAGGGGGGGTAACCTGGGCTAGTAAGCACTCCTCAAGGTCAGTCTAGACTACATACCGAGAGACAGTCTAAAAAAAACAGCAAGAGAACAGCTGGGGGTGCCAGAAACAGGAGCAAAGTGGAAGAGGGATGCAGGAACCAAGTTAGTTCACCATTTCTCAGTGCCGTCTGCCACTCCTTCCCGCTCCGACTCCTGCCCCCACAAGCCACTCACCCACAATTTCTGCACCGATGAAGAGACTAAGAAGAACTCTCACCAACCAGAACCATCGCTGCGGGGAAAGACAGACCCTCAGGCCAGGATCGGGTACTGCCCACCCCGCCCTCGAGACCTCCCCCCCCCACTCCATCTCAGCCTTAGTTGCATTTCTGACCTCTTGAGACTGATGTCACGCGTGCTTGAGACTGATGTCACGCGAGCTTTTCCTTCAGGTTCCTCTTACCACTGGCATTGGTGCTGTTTTCTGGTCGTGTGCTTACATTGACCATTTCCCCGCCCTATTTTCAGGTCGACATTGCCTGGCACTTTCTGACCACCTTTTACCCCCAGCTGTCTGGCGCCTAGTCGCTACCTCTAGTTCAGTCACCGCTTGGTGAGGCTCAGTGAGTTCAGAAGTGTCAGGCAGGTGGGGTCACCTTTCCCAGAAGAAGGAGGCCCCAGGACCTGGTTGCCAATGAGAGGAACTGTGGATATTTCTAGATGTGCCAGTTACCCCCCCAAACCACCAACAACAAAAGAATGCAGAAAAGTTGGAGGTCTTCTAGACTTGAAAAAATTACAGTTCAGGATCTGGGGGCTGAGAGCATTCAGGTTTGAGCCCTCTATGGAACCCTCCTAAACCAAACGCAGTAAGGAAAACGCAGCAGTCTAAATTGCCTGTGTCCATCCTCTTGGCCAGTTTATTGTTCAGAGGACAGGGCAGGTGTGCTGAGGTGTTCAGAGAGAGGGGAGAGGTCCTGGCAACACCGAAAGCCGGGACTACTGGGCTGGTTCCCGCTTTCTGCAGTAGCCTCCAAAATAAGGCAGTTGGAGTCTCTTCCCGGTAAGTACTGAACCCGCGACTATCCCTCTCCCCGTGAGGAGTCGATTGCTGCACCAGACTTCTAAATTTGCTGCTGCTGATCCTCGGCTTAACTATTCATGAAGCATCTTCCTTAGTCCTGGCTGTCCTGAGTCTCCGAGAAATGCTGCTCTCCCACCCCACGACATGGCCTGCTGGAACCCCTCTAAGGAGAGCTGTTAGTACCCCTTACCGAGTGGCCACGAATCCCAGGCAAGATGAACAGGAAGCTGCCCGCTAAGCACAGGAATACCAGAATGACAATGAGCAACGGAACGCTGAAGCCCGCCGCGTGCCTGGGCTGGGGGTAAAAGGGCATCACCCCGTCCCAGGCAGTCATCCTGCAAGAAGTTCGAGAACTGCTCTTATGAGTAAAAGAAAGTCTGAACCGCGCGGCTCTCCTAAAAAGCGCAGAGGCGGGATCCTGACGCTCTTGTTCCTGGCTTGGCGGCTTCGCACAGCGTGGCAAAGAAACACAGACCCCCTTTTATAGGAGCGTGGGCAGCAAGAAGGGGAGGTGTCCGGGCTAGGTGGCAGGGTCCTGTCCAGAGGAGATCAAGCAAGCGAGGGGCGGGGACATGCAAATAACGGCAACCCGGCTCCTTAACTGGAGGCCAAGCCTCTGGTCCACACACTCACGCCTGCTGCTGTGGTGTGAGCTCACACCTGTGAGACCGGACCCAGTGTGAAGGGTGAAAGTGCATCCAGGAAGCGTGAAGATTCTCAGAGCTGCTAGAGTGGAGTGCGGGAAGCAGAGCAAAGAAACAAACTCCCCAAGAACACGGAAGACTGGAGAAGCGGACCGGAGTCCTGCACCAGAGGTTGGTCCTCCTAGCCCTCTCCTTTTCCCATGCCCATTCACTACAGATGCAGATGAGGTTGACTGAGGGCCTCTGGCTCTCAGGTCATTAGCCTCTCTACCTTTTCTGCCACCTCCTGGAGAAGCGGTATGTGGGGAATTGGAATGAGAGTTTCAGGTTTTGGATCAAAGTCCCCGGGAGGGTGAGACAGTCCTGCTAGAGATTGGACACCCCAAAGGACTCCTGCCCCGGTGTTCCTGTGGTTGAAATCAGCACTCAGACAGGGTTTGGGTGAGGGGCTGTCTCAGTGCCTCCCAGGTTGTCCCAGAAAGCGCATCGTGAAGTTGGAGGATCTGGGTAATGCTTGCGTGCTCCTCTTCCAGTACCAGCTGTAGGAGCGTGTGTACTTCACACAACACCTCCCATCTCCAGGCTGCAGGGACGGCATGCTTCCAGCAAGCCCCAATACACTAGTGCTCCTGGGTGCTCTGCTTACTGGACCCCTGGGTCCAGCAGGTAAGTAGAAGGGACCTCTAGCGGAGAGGGGTGAGCCAATGCCCCGTTGGAGTGTGGAAAGGTAGAGGTGCTATTGGCACTGGTAAGCAGGAAGGACAGGTCCATCTCCGATCGGCTTTGTGAGATGGAAGACTTCTGAGGCCTCCGACAAGGACTAGTTGGGGAAGGATTTAGCCATCGGGGGAAGGATGCTAATCCTAAGGGATCACCGAGGGGTCTCTGGGAGATTGGCGCTAAGTGGAAGACTCTCTGCTCCCACAGGTGGCCAGGATGCACCCTCACTGCCCTGGGAAGTGCAGCGCTATGATGGTTGGTTTAACAATCTGAAGTACCACCAGCTCGGTGCTGCTGGTAAATCCTGGGATCTGCACAGAGGGCAGGGTCGCAGCAGTGTGGGCATGGAGATGGGGTGTAGTGGTCAGCGGGATTACATTCACACCACATTCATATGCATTCCTGGGGCCAGGGGATGAGAGGGAGGAGAGAGAGAGGGGAGGGGAGGGGAGGTAGAGAGAGATCCTTTCAGTAAAGATCTGGGCATAGAAGCCCATAGAAAGGCCAAGTTTGGGACTTGGGGACCGGGAGCCCTGATCCAGCTCAGCTCTCTTTCTCCTCCAGGCTCGCGCCTGCAGCGCCTAATACCTGCTCATTACGCTGACGGCGTTTATCAGGCTCTGGAGGAGCCGCTGCTACCCAACCCTCGGAAGCTTAGCGAAGCTGTCACTCAAGGCAGAGCCGGGCTGGCGTCTATCCACAACCGCACAGTGCTGGGTGTCTTCTTTGGTGAGTATAGGAGGGATCCAGGGTGGATATGGAGCAAACTGAGTGCCCAGGGAAAGGACCCTGGGAGTCCCACTGCAACTTGAAGGAAAAGGATGCTTTCTAAGAAGCGTTTCTGCTATCGTCCTGGAGTACGTGGGTAATGTGGGGGATCTTTCTTACACCATACTCCAAATCAACAAGTTCCACTGGGTCCCCATTAGAATTCTTAGGAACTGGATGCCCTGGCTCTTTTGCTCTCCTCAAGACTCTAATGACTGCCACATAGAGATGAAGGGAGCTGGTTAGTCATATCGTTTTTGGATTCTCACAACGTTTTGTTTGCCTATTACAAGATCGAGGTTTACAGGGAATGGTCTAATAGACAGCGTTGTCGCTTGTGCTCTGACTTCTGCGTTTTGTGCCCTGAGAATTACTAGAGGCTTTCCTGGTCCCAAGGAGAGCAGGGCCTGAAGATTGGCTGACTACCTTGTCCTCTTAACCCAGGCTACCATGTGCTCTCTGACCTGGTGAGCGTGGAAACGCCAGGCTGCCCCGCGGAGTTCCTCAACATTTACATCCCGCGTGGAGATCCTGTGTTCGACCCAGACAAGCACGGGGACGTGGTGCTGCCCTTTCAGAGGAGCCGCTGGGACCCCAAGACCGGACAGAGCCCCAGCAACCCCAGGGACCTGGTGAGGCCAGGCAGCCAGGCAGGAGGGCAGGCAGGCTGGAAGGGAGTCTGCAGCTGGACCCACTGGAGACCTGGGGTCTGGCCGGGAAGGCTGGGCAGGGCGAGGCTCTTTCCCACCTGCAGGTCCCTGACCCCGCGCACCCACATGTCCCCACAGACCAACCAGGTGACCGGCTGGCTGGATGGCAGTGCCATCTATGGCTCTTCTCACTCCTGGAGCGACTCCCTGAGGAGCTTCTCAGGAGGACAGCTGGCATCAGGGCCTGACCCCGCATTCCCGCGGGAGTCCCAGGACCAACTGCTCATGTGGATGGCACCGGACCCTGCCACGGGGCAGGGAGGACCACAGGGCCTGTATGGTGAGACTGCAGGGTCCTGGCAGGAGGGGCAGGGTTGGAGGCATCAGGCTGCTGGGCGGGCGGGGGGGGGGCTGTACTGAAGGGATCTGGGCTCCCCTGGCTCATATTGTCGCTCACGCCCCCCAATACCTCCCCCCCCCCCGTCTCCACATGGATGCAGCCTTTGGGGCCCAGCGCGGGAACAGGGAGCCCTTCCTGCAGGCACTGGGCCTGCTGTGGTTTCGCTACCACAACCTGTGTGCCAGGAGGCTGGCCCAGGAGCACCCGCACTGGGGGGGATGAGGAGCTGTTCCAGCATGCGCGCAAGAGGGTCATCGCCACCTACCAGGTGAGTGGTGCTGCCTGCTCCGTGCCCACCTGTGTGCAGGGTCCAGGGAGACTCGGCTTCCCTAGCAAAATTTCCCCAGTCTTGGACAATGTCGATTCTCCTGATGCTCCTTTCCAGGAGGCCCTTGTTCCTGTAGGGGTTAATCTCTAGGAAAATCTGAAAAGCCCCTGCAAATGTTTATATGGGCGATTTTGCCTGTGATTATAATTTGTCTGCTCCCCATTCCCCACAACTGGCCTTTCCTGGGTCTCATCTGCACCCAAGTCTTCCTTATAGGCTCATTCCAATCTCCCCTTTCCTCTCACTAACCCTCAGAACATTGCTCTATACCAATGGTTGCCCAGCTTCCTGAGGAAAACACTCCCAGAGTATTCAGGTAGGCAGAGGAGGTGTGAAGGGCAGGGGATGCCTACACTGAAGATCCCTAGAAGAAGGGAAGGTAGATTTGAGATGCCAGGATGTGAAGTAAGGCACCTGTTTTCATGCAGGGTACCACCCTTTCAAGGACCCCAGCATCTCCCCAGAGTTCGTGGTGGCCTCTGAACAGTTCTTCTCCACCATGGTCCCCCCTGGGGTCTACATGAGGTAAGGGAAGGGCTGCTGGTGGAGCCCCACGATGTTGGAAGCAGGTATTCGATGGGTGGGCACATCCCTCCACAGCTTCATCAGAAGAGAAGCAGAATGGGGGGAGGGGCTGAAACGGGATCCTGGGGTGGGAGGTTTGGGCTCCATAGGAAAGCCCTCAGCTCTCCTAATAGCAGAATTTTGTTTTCTGAGTGTGGAGTATATCTGCAGCTGGGGTGCCTTCTCACTCTGTCTTCAAATCCTTCTGATGTTCAAGAAAGTTCATGGGTCATCCTTCACTCTTGGCTAGCCCACAGAATTGCCCACCTCACTCGTCATCTTAACTTCTGTCCCCAAATTCCTTCACTGTATTTCTGGCACTCCATTTCAGAAACTCCAGCTGTCATTTCCGGAAATTCCCTAAGGAAGGTTCTGGCAGCTCTCCAGCTCTCAGGGTCTGCAACAGCTACTGGATTCGGGAGGTTAGCATGGGGTCAGGGTCAGAGAGTAGGGGGTCACAGTCACTTACCCTAAATACTTGGAAAAATAACAACTTCAGGTTCTTGAGCAGTGGTGCTCCACATGTGGAGCAAAGGGGAGAAAATTATCTGGGGAGAATTGTCCAGGAGAGTCTGGAAATGCCTGGGCACAGGGGAATGTGCCTGCTCTCCTAGCTGCCTGGGAAGCTGACGAGGGACTGTGCCTGGAAGCCAGTTGTGGAGCACCTTAAAAGATAGGAAGGGGAAAGGAAAAGAGAGGGGGAGAGAAAGGGGGCATGGGAGAGTGGGAGGGAAAGAGAGGGAGAGCTAGAGAGGCAGAGAGGACCTTTCTTCCTGGGGTGCTTCTGTGGTCCAGGCGTATCATTTCCTTCTAGAACCCCTATCTGAAGAGTGCCCAGGAGGTGGATCAGCTGCTGATGGGAATGGCCTCCCAGATTTCAGAGCTGGAGGACAGGATAGTGGTTGAAGACCTGAGAGGTGAGCTCAGAGGGTGGGGTGTCACAGCTAGGGGCCTAAGGGTCCTTCTGGGTCAGTCCACAGTCAGACCTAGGCTACCTATAATGCAAGCACACGGATATACACTCACAAACTTCAAACAGATATCAGAAGAAGTTGAAATTTGAGTTCCCTCTTAATTTATAGTTTTGTGTTGATTTTATTAAGATGACTGTGGTGAGCTTGGGAGCAGCAACACAAGTGAACATCATCTCTGGTGTTTACTTAGGTCTTAAGGGCTCTTATCCAGTCCTGTTTTAGAGTTGGGAAGCAGAGAGAATGGAGTTTCTGGTGGGTATCAAGAATTATCTTGAGTCTTATAAGGCCTTTTTGGAAAAGTTGTCCCTTATCACACATGGTGACATTGGGTCCACACCAAACAAAGTCATTAGTGTCAGGTAGAGGAGTTCTGGGGACCGAGGCTGGGGAGAATTCTGGACAGTTAGCTCTGAAGACGAGAGGCATCAAAGGATGGGATGACTGACACAAAGTCTGGTTTCTTTTCAGATTACTGGCCTGGCCCAGACAGAT